TTTTTTTCTTTCTTTCTTTCCCGGGTCGTTACATTATCTACCCCTAAAAAGAACTTTCGTCCTCGAAAGTCTCAAACTCCTGTACCAATTCGGGGTATTTCTCCCTTATCTCGTCCTCACGCTCCCATGTGGCTTCCTCACTGTGGTGATTCCGCCATAGTACCTTCACGAACGCAATACTCCTGTTGCGTAAGGTCTTTACCTCTCTAGCTAAGATTCTTACTGGTTTTTCCTCGTAGCTCATATCTTCATTGAGTTGGAGTGGTTCGTAGTCTATTACGTGGATAGGATCCGTAATGTACTTCCTCAGCATCGACACATGAAATACATCATGTACTCCTGAGAGGGCTGGAGGTAAGGCTAACTTATACGCTACCGGACCAACTCGCTCTAGGATCTCGAATGGTCCAATGAATTTAGGACTTAACTTGCCCTTATGTCCGAATCTTAACACACCTTTCATAGGTGCCACCTTGAGGAATACTGGGTCCCCCACCTCAAACTCCAGGCTTTTACGCCTTACATCGGCGTAGCTTTTCTGTCTACTTTGAGCGGTACGCATCCTCGCTCGAATTTTTTGGACAGCCTCATTGGTGAGTCGAACCAACTCGGGTCCTACTAATTCTTTCTCTCCTACCTCGTCCCAACACAGTGGGGACCTACACCGTTTCCCGTACAGGGCCTCAAACGGTGCCATTCCAATAGTTGCTTGGAAACTGTTGTTATACGAGAATTCCATCAGGTGTAGTTTGGAATCCCAACTTTCCTTAAAATCTAGTACGCAAGCGCGTAGCATGTCCTCTAGAATTTGGTTTAAACGCTCCGTTTGTCCATCTGTTTGAGGGTGAAAGGCGGTACTAAAGTCGAGGCGGGTACCCAGTGCTTTTTGAAGTCCGCGCCAAAACGCTGACGTAAAGCGTGGATCCCGATCCGACACTATAGACACTGGGACTCCATGTAGTCTTACTATTTCTTTCACGTACAGTTGTGCCCAATTGTCAACTGTACATGTAACCTTCCCAGGTAGAAAGTGTGCCGACTTGGTCAACCTATCGACAACTACCCAGATCACTGTATAGCCCTTGGGCGTTTTGGGTAAACCTACTATGAAGTCCATCGCTATGTTTTCCCACTTCCACTCTGGTATGCTTAGGGGCTGTAACAACCCCGCCGTCTTTTGTCTTGGAGCTTTCACTTGTTGACAAACTAAGCACTTGCTCACAAACCCGGCCACATCCCTCTTCATGCTCTTCCACCAAAAGTGTTGTTTTAAATCTTGGTACATCTTAGTACCTCCTGGATGCATCGCAAATGGTGAGTTGTGAGCTTCCATCAGTATTTCCTTCCTTAAATCTTCTATTGCTGGAACACATAAGCGTCCCTGATACAATAGTCCTTCATCTGATGACTTCGAGAATCCATCTACTGGACTTTCGTCTAGCTGTCCTAGGACTTTCTGTAGGTTAGGATCCTCTTGTTGGGAGACAATAATTCTCTGCCTAAGTGTAGGTTGTACAGTGAGTCGGGCCAACTGTGCTATGACTCCCTCGGTCGCTACAGCTATGTTGGCTCGCTCGAACTCTCTTTGTACCCTTACTTCCCTCGTAATGAGGGCCGACGAGTGGACCGTCTTCCTACTCAAGGCATCTGCAACCACATTTGCTTTCCCAGGGTGGTACTGGATATCTACGTCATAATCCTTCACCAATTCTAACCACCTTCTCTGCCTCATGTTTAACTCTTTCTGGGTGAAGAAGTATTTCAAACTTTTGTGGTCGGTAAAAATTTGAGTTTTCTCGCCATACAGGTAATGTCGCCAGATTTTCAGCGCGAACACTACAGCGGCCAACTCTAGGTCATGGGTAGGGTAGTTCTTTTCATATTCTTTAAGTTGACGAGATGCGTATGCGACAACCTTGCCGTGTTGCATTAACACACATCCCAGTCCTTTCATGGAGGCATCACTATAGATCACATATCCTTCTGAGCTCTCGGGTACTATGAGTACCGGGGCGGTTACCAATCTCTCTTTTAGGTTCTGGAAGCTTGCCTCACAAGCATCATCCCATCTAAATGGCACCCCTTTTTTTGTTAACTTTGTTAAAGGCGAGGATATTTTAGCGAAGTCCTGTACGAACCTTCGATAATATCCCGCCAATCCTAGGAAACTCCTTATTTCCGTTACCGTAGTTGGGCGTTCCCATTTTGTGATCGCTTCGACCTTGGTGGGATCTACAGATATTCCGTCCTTTGACACCACGTGTCCTAGGAAAGAGACTTGTCGTAACCAAAATTCGCATTTGGAGAACTTGGCGTACAACTTGTGCTCTCTTAGGGTGGTTAGGACTTTTCGGAGGTGTTCCTCGTGCTCTAGGTCGGTTCTCGAGTATATGAGGATGTCGTCAATGAACACAATCACAAACATGTCTAGGCATTCTTTGAATACCCGGTTCATTAACTCCATAAATACCGCTGGGGCATTGGTGAGGCCAAATGACATCACTACAAACTCGTAGTGACCGTACCTTGTCCTAAATGCCGTTTTTGGTACGTCTTTTTCATTAATCCTAATTTGGTGGTAACCGGACCGAAGATCTATCTTAGAGAATACTGTTGCTTCTCTGAGTTGATCAAACAAGTCTTCTATTCTAGGCAGAGGATATTTGTTTTTTATGGTCCTCTTGTTTAGCTCTCTGTAATCGATGCACAGACGCATCGATCCATCTTTCTTCTTAACAAACAACACTGGCGCACCCCAGGGGGACACGCTAGGTCGAATGAATCCTTTATCTAGTAAGTCTTGCAGTTGCGCCTTGAGTTCTTTCAACTCAGCTGGTGCCATGCGATAGGGTGCTTTGGAAATAGGCCCAGTTCCCGGCTCGAGTTCGATGACGAAGTCGACCGCTCGGGAAGGGGGTATTCCAGGTAAGTCATCCGGAAATACATCCGGAAACTCGTTTACTATTGGCACGTTTACTAGGGTCTCTTCCTTTCCTCTCACGTCTACAGCACATGCTAATATAGCCCATCCACCTTGTTGGACTAACTTCTTTGCTTTCATCATCGAGACTACCTTGGGGGTAACCCCGGTATTTGTGCCTTTAAATTTAAAGGTAGGTCCTATCGGTGGTGAAAATTTTACTTCCTTTTGGTGACAGTCTATACTAGCTCGATTTTCAGCTAACCAATCCATGCCTAGTATGACGTCGAAATCTGTCATGTTTACCACTATCAGGTCAACGCTTAAAGTTTGGTTCCCTATGATTACTTGGCCATTCTTTACTCTATCCCTAGATACTAAGTCTACCCCCGCAGGGGTGCTTACAGACATTTCATGCAATAAGGGTTCTAATTCGAACCCCGCTTGTTCAACAAAAGGCATGGAAATAAAGGAATGCGTGGAACCAGAATCAAATAAGGTAAAAGCGAAATGACCTAAAATGGACAGTGTACCTGTCACCACGGCGTCGGACCTCCCAGTGTCCCTGCTGGTTGACGCGTAGGCCCTAGCTTGAGCTCGCGGTGGTGCTGGTTGATCCGTTTGCTCTACTACTCTGGGCAGGTTTGCTTGTGCTGCGGCATTTCCGGCCGTACAGTTCACGGCGATGTGCCCCTCTTGGCCACACCTATAACACGCTCGGCTGCCAGCCATGCACCTCCCACCGTGTAGTCTTCCACAGATAGTGCACCCTTCCTCTCTCCTCCCTCTGGCCCCATCCTGATTCCTGGGGTTCCTGTCAGTACGTCGGGGAGGGCGTCGCTCATCCCATCTAGGAGCGGGTCTGTTATTGGAACGGTGCCTATGTGCTGGTGGTGGACGGTCAGAGCCTCCTGATTCATGAGGACGCTTCTGCCCAATTATAACTCGCTCTTCACGCCGTTTCTCATCCTTTGGTTTCTCTAAAGCCTTGGCAGTTCTCAAGGCTTCCTCATAGGTCTTTGGGTTGAACGCCTCCAACATGCGGCGGATTCTTGGTACCAAACCCAATACAAATTTCTCTGTCATCTTTTCCTCAGTGTCCACCATGGACGGTGCGAATCTCTTGAGTCTATTGAACTCTCGGTTGTACCTCTCCACTGTGAGTCCGCCCTGTACCAGGTGGGCGAACTCCTGCTGCTTTTTAAGTCGCTCTGACTTAGGATAATATTCTTTAAGGAAGGCCTCCTTAAATCGTTCCCAGTTCATTGGTCCCCCTTCTGGGTTAAGAAGGGTCTTGTTATCTCTCCACCATATCTCTGCGTCCTTTTGTAGGACGAAGGTTGCACAGGCGACCTTTTGGTTCTCTGGGCACTCCATAGTCTCAAAGGTGGTTTCCACCGCTGCAATCCACATTTGGGCTTCTATGGGGTCTACTAGGGAACCAGTGAATGGTCGAGGGTCGTATCTCTTGAAATCCCTTATCCAGTTTGAACATCTAACAGGTTGTGGAGGGTTTACTGGGGGATTGGCCTGAGCAGTGGCCTGTGCCTGTGCCTGTGCCTGTGCCTGGGCCTGTACCTGTGCCTGTACTTGTGCCAGTGCCAACGCCTGTGCCTGGGCCTGTGCTTGGGCTTGTTCCTGGGCCTGTTGTAGACTGGCTTGTTGATTGGTTACTAAGGTTTGAATTAGGGCTTGGATCGAGTCACACATTAACCTAGTATTAGCATCTACTCCACCCATTGGGGGTGCAGCTTCAGGTGCGACTTGGAGTGGTAGGGTAGGCTGGGGTGGGGCTTCTACTGGTGGTGGAGGCTCAGCTTGTAGTGGAGCTTGAGGAGGTAGCTCAACTGGCGGTAAGACTGGGGGCGGCGTAACTGTTACCGGCCCAGTCTCTGATCTTTCTTGAGGTGGGCCCCCTACTGCCACACCTCGTCCTACTTCTCTACGACGGGGTCGCCCCCTTCCTCGTCTTCCTCTTCCTCTTCCTCTTCCTCGTCCTCTGGGCATGGTTCTATAAACCAATATAAGGTTGCTTAAGTCTAAGGCCTAGATACTATGCATATATATAAATAACGCCAAAGAAGTAAACATTCATCATGCTAAGCATCATATCATGCTACTAACCAAAATTACTCAGCATGCAACACATGACATCATACTTTTAAATAAATACGTGAAGTATCACAACCATTTCAGTAATGTCAACATAAAAAAAAATAATGCACGCAAGTTTTAAAACGTTTCTCTTTTCTTATCTTATGCAAGGCGTACCTGACGGTGACGGGGCATCGACGTTGGGACCGTGGAGCGTGCCAAGCCTACATCGTAGGCTAGTCTACAGAATCTAAAACCTAGAGCTCTGATACCAACTGTAACGACCCTAAATTTCCACATATCCAGAGTCGCCACTCACGTCTCATGCTCATCTCTAATGCAGAATAAAATCTAAGCATGCTCATTATTTGCGGAAAAATTTAAAACTTCAGAATACATTAAAACTTTGGAAAACACTGCCGGACTTACGTGTTTCAAACATTGAGCTAGAGTTCCAAAAAGAAAAGAAAATAAAATAAAACGACTACAAATTAATT